AAGAGAACACGTAAGTACATTCAGAAGGGATGCGAAATTACTGCCCATTGAAGTTTTTTGTAAGGCCTCTACTTGTGTTCTCATACACAAAACGTTATCCCTAGGTAAGCCACTCTACTTGAGAGAAAAACTGCCAGCCCGGCGGGACGTTTCTAAGCGCAGCACCCGACAGAACGATTTGTTGCACTTGCCTAAAGTCAGCCATGAGGTAGGTCGGAGAGCCTTTGCTTACTTCGGACCTAAATTGTACAACTCTGTCCCTTCAAAAATAAGAGAAAAAGGTTTAACAGGCTTCAAAACAAATATAAAAATGTGCTCATTTCATGTATAGCTTTTAGTCTTATGTACTTATTTTGGTTTTTAATTGTTTGTTAGATATTAGATGACGAAAGTTGTAAGAGAAAAACAGTTTTGTAAAATTGACTTAACGCTTGAACCAATAAAGACAATTTTATTTATTTATTTATTTATGTCAGTTAGTTGTCTCAGCCTTATCAGTTACATAAAGTTGTCAATATAATCTCTCTACGGAATGTTAGGTGTAGTGGAATATACTTGAAGTGAAGTTGGCTTTTATTCTTGAACTGTTAGGGGCCTCCTCATTTATATGGTTGTGCAGCTTCATTGGCAAAAAATAATACGAATGACATAGTAATGTGGCATTTCCAAAAGGCAAAAAATAATGTAAATTGGTTGTTACCTGTAATCGAAATAGCCTCTCTGAAAAGTCTTCAGTATATTGCAGCTTTCCAGCTAAATGACTTTCTAAATCATGCACATATTTCTACATAAATATTGTAAAATGTTTGATTCAGTTGCTGTAAACCACTATTAATTTTAAAAAAATATGGACACGGCTCAAATTGGCCCCGTGCCCTTATGCACTTGTATTATTTTGTATTGTATTACACAATCGAAGATTTTTCCAATGATTGAAAGCATGTACAGTATGACAATAATCTCATGAACCTATGATGATCTGTCTAGAAAAATATGATAAAATATGGGGAAAAGGTGTGAAAAAGGCAGACATCAACCCGTAAAATAGATTTAAGATAGTTTTATAAGAAATAATTGTAAGATTTATTGTGATTAAAGGATTTTCCACCGATTTCGTAATGGAACTTTATATTGGAAGATTGGAACACATGACATGATACAGAAGAAAATCAATTTTAAAATCAGAAAATAACATTGCAAATATACTTCTTTTGGACAGTTCAGTAACTCCCAATAAATGTGTGTTGTTTAAAATACAATTTTAAAACTATAACAGCTGTTTTATTAAATAGTATTATCCACATGACCAAAATGTAAACAAATCTGTGGAGGGATTTTTAAAGGCTTCTGGGGCAGAGCCCTAAGCGAATTTACTTCGTTTTTCTTTTGATAACTCATCTACAGACCAAGACCTTTCTTTGGACACCTCTACCAAGTTTCTACGCCTAGCCGTTCTCTCAAATTAGTGGATACAAAGTTTCCAATTAAATATTTAGATTCCCCCATGTTAATCTTATGGGAGAAAGCTCGACTTTAATGGAAGATCCTGCCCAACCTAATAAAGATATCAAAAAACGAAAAACACTTTGCAAAACTACAGATCAGGGCAATTTTTTTGACACTTTAATCATCAAAATCGGTCCAAAAATGAGGGAGGAGTTCTGTTCACAAAAATTGGCTTAGCGTATTATATATATAGACTAGCTGTGTACCCGTTCTACGCACGGGGATCTTATAATATTCAGTTGAAACCTTCTTATATAACGAACAGCAGTTGGTTTGCATATTTTAAGATATGCTGGCCAAACTATTATACATAGCTTCATTTTATGTTGTTTTTTGTTGTTCCGGATCGGTATGACAATCAATAAAAGGTTAAATTACCTCTGTGTCTGCCGGTCGATCCTATAACGGTAGGCTTACTTTTATTTTTACTATCTGATCTCGTTTGCATGGCTCAATCACGTCCTGGTTGAAGTTCGTTCGCTACGCTCACTCACCTGTATGTTGGAGCTCGTTCGCTGCGCTCACTTTCCTTCAGGTTAGCTCGTTCGCTACGCTCACTTGCCTTCAGGTTAGCTCGTTCGCTACGCTCACTCGCCTCCAGGTTGCAAATTAGCTGTTGTCATAAATGTAAAAGAAATAATAGTGCTAGTGCTGCACCCTGTTGGTAATCCTTGTAACTTTAATGCTATTGAACATCACAGAACAGAACCAACTTGTTTAATTGAAACAGCTGTTAAGATTCAATAATTTCATTTCTCATAAGGTTAACATGGGCTTCCAGAAATTCCACGTCAAAAATCGACAAAAACTTTATTTTCAAGGGTTTACTGTTAAATATCTAACTGTCTCATATTCGATGAAATACGTCTAAAACCATCTCATATATGTATAGTATTTGGAAAATAAGTTTCAGGCGGGACAGTGCTATAGTTATTGAGGAGTAGTTGTAATAAAGTGCGTATTTTAGCGTTACCAAGAGAATGACAGATAGACAGACAGACAGACAGACAGACAGAAATTGAGATAAGGTTTGATTCGGTTTCTCTGACCTATGAAATGTAAAAATAACCAAAAAGTTCATTATTCTAAGCAATGTACAGACAAAACTCTAATTTTATTTATATAGATTTACTGTCACTGACTATAAATTCACTGATACCTGTGCATATTCAGTTCATTTAACATTCAGCTGTAATTTTAAATAAACAATTATCATTATGCTGTTTATAGTTTCATCCACTGTTTCATCTTCTTCAGTTGTTTATTTACTAACCTATGAGAAGAAACATTAATACTTGTCCTCTATTTGAAATCTTAAGAATCAATTTATTGTTATGTTTTGTGATTTATATGTACAAAGTTATATCTCAAACAGTATCATCAAACAATTGTAGCAGTGAGTTAGTACTCTACCACAATATTTAACTTAATCATGAATATTAAAATTACAATAGAGATTAAACTTTATATTGTACTCTTGGTTAAGCTGATTTAAATAAATAACCTCTCTGACATTTACTTTTAAAAACTACAATCTTTAAAGATATATTTTTTAGATTTTGTCTTTCATCACTATTTTCTCTTTATTGTTGATTATAGCAAGATGTCTAATTTAATAGTACTATAGAAGAATCACCAGAACTGTTAGCAAAACATTGATATCCAAATCCATTGCATTATCGGACATAAAGTATCATTTGCAACAAAAACCAAAACCAAACTCCTATTGATTGTGATAAATAGGATGGATCAATCGGATACAACTTATCCTAATGATTTTATGTTCTTTTAATTTTTAATAGAGTTTATTTTAGTTTTTTCTGTGTGTTTTAACAATTTTGAATCCTTAAAATTTTACAAAATTGTAGTTTAAGACTTGGTCAATTCATTTTAAACAATGAAACAACAGTGCATTGTTTATTATTGCTTTTAAACAATAGTTTAACTTTCACCATCAATGTCAATTGATCAAACCTAGTTTAAAATTGTAAGCTGATGGTGACCAATAGAAGGAGTTTGCTTTTTACAGAGTCAAATCCTAATTTCAAAAAATTATAACAAACTTTTACCACAGACTATAGATCAATTTAATGGTCTACTTTGTCTGTGCTTTCATACATAAAACACTGTCAAACAAAATGTGGGACTCCTCCCCTAAAAATGGAATGAGGAATCCATTTTGGTGTAAAATTTACAAAAACTGTAAACATATGTTGGTAGTTAATAATTGTCATAATAATATTATAGGAGGGATGATTGTGAGTATGTCCAGTTGTTATTTAATGACTCAATGAGTGAAGGAGGAGAGGGAGAAACACCTGACTATAGATGTGGGTGGCTGACATTCAAACCCGATTGGCTGCAGAAATTCAACACAACTGCATGGGCTTTGGCCATTATTTCATCCGCAGCATTTTTACAAGGTAACTGATTATAGCATGTTAGTCATATCTTGCAAAAAAATGCGCCCTTAATATTGTATTTAACTTGTTATAATGTTGTTGTTTTTTTTATATATATTCACTGAACTATTATTTTAATATCAGACATATTTTATTGCATGGAAGACTCCCTCTGTAGTTGAGGCCAGACCTTCATCTAAACTAAAATAATACCAAACCATCAGTTAACTTAACACAAAAATAAATGTATATGGAAATTGAGGGATTATTGGGAATACTTTCCGTCACACAAGTTTGACTGATTGTGATGGGATAGGTCCGCAATAATCCCTCAATCACCATAAGCCCACCACCAAAAATGAACTTCGAACAATGAATTATATATTTTAGAAACACTTTACTTTCAAAATTAGTAAACAACAGAACAGCACAAAGTAAGTAAATTCAGCAATGAAGTCTGTATGTACCACAAAAGTAAGGCGGGGCTCTAAGTTTAAAACACAACAATCCACCATTTTCTGTAGCAAATGGTATATGGGGTGGTCTGTTACTATTACGGTTTAAATATCTCATCAGTAGGAATCGACAGTCAAAAGCATAGCCTAAGCATAGCTTCTAATAAGATTTTCATAGTAACCAAACTAACCCAAATGATTTGCAAATATGAGGTAGATTACCTACTTTTAATTTACTTTTAGGTGTAATTGTAAATGGGATTTTACACTTGATGATTCCAACAATTGAACACGGATTTAACCTGCGATCGTTTAAATCTGGCTTGGTTTCTGGGGGCTATGATATAGCTTCACTGTTATGTTTGATTCCCGTCACCTACCTGGGGGGACGACATCACGCCTCCAAGCCGAAATGGATTGGATTTGGAGTCTTCATTATGGGGATTGGAGCTTTAGTCTTTTCATCACCATACTTCCTGACAAAAAGTAGTCACTTGGCGTACTTTCAAGATTCGTCTGGAATTTGTACTGATAACGAAAATACGAGTCATAAGGTACTGATTTTTAAAATCGATTTTCCCATTTTATAGAATAAGCTATTAACGTAGGTCTCATGGTAAGATTTGGACCTGGGACAGATATACTTTTTCGTTTTGATGTCCACAAAGGCCAAAAACACCCTCTGTTCAAATTCAATATATTTGTATATGTTCATTAGCTCGATAACTCAAAAGCAAAAATCATCCAATTAAGATGAAATTTGGCACTAACCTGTAAACTTTATATTGTTTTATAAACATTACATCAATTAATAGAGTTATAATTACAATTTTTTTTTTACTACCTACATACATAATATAAGCTTGCTCAATGATTTCAGAACTGCGATCATAGTGACGGGACCCATTTGTCCTCCTTCATGTGGATATTTTTTATCGGAAATCTTCTCCATGGTGCCGGAGCTAGCCCCCTCTTTACTTTAGGGGTAACTTTTTTGGACGAATCAGTTGTGAAAAAGAAAACTGGAATAACTATAGGTAATAAAAGGAAATATTTTACAATTACATCGATAATATTATTTATAAATTTCTGTATTATGTATATTTTACTATTATTTTTTGCAAAGAATTACCAAAGAAAAATGGCAAAGGTCTACCAGCGATGGTTGGAATAGTGTTTATTCAAATTCGTTAAATAGTACACTTAACACCTCTTTTAATTGTGTGTGGTTTATCTGATTCTAGGTGCATATTATACTGCAGCAACCTTTGGGATTGCCGTAGGTTATGTGGTCGGAGGTTACTTCTTGCAGTTACCAGAAGACTTTTTGTCAGTCTCTGAAAATGTGTAGGTACATACTTTTCATAAAACTCTAGAAATTAAGGAATTGCTTCTTAATCTGACAACCGGTTGTATTAATAAATTTAGCCAAATGTTATAGTTTTCCCCTCTTTTGCCATTACTTAATTAGGCCTATATTTGTATAGCTGATGAGCATAATTTTTCAGTAACAATAATAATTGAGCCCTCAGAGGTGCCATACATAAAGATCGATTTTACAAAATAAATATCTAATAAATATTTAAAACAAACGCATTTTTTGGTGGTTGTCATTGCAATATAGATACAATTTTTTAACAAATTTTGTTTTTGTAATAAAAAATACTTATGATAATTCAAATATAACATGCAAATTGTTACACATTCTGTTTTAGGTTTTTAACTCCAGCAAGTAAAACATGGGTTGGTGCTTGGTGGCTGGGATTTGTAATATTTGGATTCGCCAGTATAATCCTATCCGTCCCTATTTTAGCTCTGCCCGCACGAATGCCAGGTCAGTTATTCAGTAATTATAATTTTTAAAATTTACATTAACATAATTTATATACCTTAATGCATGCACATTGCACATTCTTGTGAAAATATTAACTTTGAACCACACGCAGTGACTGTTTGAACTTTTACTATTGCACCGGATTTTACTATTGCAACTTTTACTTTTGCATCGGATATAGATGCAAAAGTGCCACCTGGTAACAACTTCAATAACAACTCAGTAAAAACTGTTTCTATTTCCCACAAACACACAGTTACGACTTACTGAAGAAAAAAAAATGTTGAAATATTTTTTTAAACATTTTAATTCATCCAAAATTTGATTATGTTTCATTTTTTTATCTAGGTCCATCTAGTCATGTAATTCATCTTATTTCTTCCCTTGAGTGTTTTTTTTTTAGCCTTATTTGTGTTACCGATACTTAACAATATTGTTATCTGAGTGATTTGTGCCCAAAAACAAACAAATGGGCTTAAAATGAACTTCATAATGATAGAATAATTTAACGCTTAACCTAGGATTTTAGTTTACCTGGCCAAGAGAGCTATGATACAATAGTGAAGTTGAAAACCCTGTTATTTGAGACCAGATTTGTTCCTCTCATAGTAGCATTTTACAAACTAAAGCATTCCTTATCATTATAGGTGTTAACAGTTAACACGATTGCTTGATGAAGACTGTTGTTTAATAATACCTACCTGACAATTATTTTTATAAACTTTTTAGGATGGGAAGAAGCAATTCAATCAAAACTATCAGAGTGTGTCGTAGGAAGAGAGAGGAATGTGACGTACAGTAAACTGAAAGAGTTGCCTAAAGCTTTGAGTGAACTGATGAGAAATACAAGTTTGATCCTGCTGAACTTTGCTGGCTGTTGCGAGGGCCTCATAGTCGCCGGTTCTGGAGCTTTTGTTCCAAAAATTATTCAAAGCCAATTCAACTTATCATCTAAATCAACTGCCATGATTATGGGTAGGGGATATTGGTCGGGCAAAGAAAACTTTTACTTAACTATGAGTTGAAGATCTGCTTTTAAAGGACATAGAATACCTATTTATTAGTTTTTTTTTTTTTTTTGCTAACACAACCTATATAAGTCAAGTTGACAAAATATTGAAACTAAATACCCAAAGCAGATTGAGAAGTTCACTATTGTGGACCTGCTTCTGAACAATACACTAAACACTTGTTGTCAACATCACTTTGTCTATTTGTTGAAATAATGATGTTGAAGTAATGGAATATTATGTTTTATTGAAAGTTCAATCAGGGGTCCCTTATCAAAATTGGATTACAAGTTTCAATAAACTATAGGTAAACTGATACAAAAATGTTATGGGGACATCGAGAACACACATTTTGAACCACATTAAATTGTTGATCATTTATATTATCTAGTTTGAGTATTATACAGATTGAGTACATAGCAAGCTCAGTTTTCTTAAAAAGGATAAACCAAAGCGGACAACGTTTTCTTGCTTTGATTATTGACGTTATTTAAAAATTTACCCATTACTCTTTGTCCTGTACACAGGAATGTTAAAATTTCTTAAGACCAAATTAATTCTTATGAAAACCTTAAAATGAAACTGAGAAAATTTGAATAATATAGTCTTATTGTTGTAAAATGTGTGAAAGTCTTTAAATAAGAGGGTCAAAATGTTTTATTAATGTGTGATATTTATTAACATACAATCGCTTTCCACTCAGGTATCATTACAGTACCAAGTGCCATTCTCGGATGTATGGTTGGAGGTGGGATACTGAAGAAGTTTGACCTGAGGTTCATCGGAACACTGAGGCTGTGTATTGGTACTTGTAGTTTGTCGATGCTGTGCGCCTTTTGTTTTCTCATCTACTGCGCAGACGAAAAGATGGTCGGAGTCAATATGCCCTACTACGCTGATAGGTGCTGTTAATCTTAATTAGTTTAAATGTATTTTAGTATTGATTTTTAGAGGTTGAGCTGTTCACTATCCAATGTGGTAATTTTATGTGATTTGACTTTGGGGTTAAACATTAGGGGAGTACAGGAAGAAATACTAAACAATATCAGATATGGTACCCCATTCCTATAAGTCCCTTGCCACTGTACAGCTGCTTTACTTAAATAATGTTTTTGGTAGGAAAATCCTACTTCTTTTATACTTCTTCTTTTAAAGTGAATAAATACTGTTAAATAAACTTAAATTTAGACTGTATTCATTATCTTCATATTTTGTGTATTTTAAAACCTCAACCTATAAGCTAAAAATGTTTGTATTTTTTATGTCCCAACTCAATTGATCTGTAGATTTGCATAAAATATTCAAAATAACCTTTATTTCCCTCAACAAACTTAATTCCTTTGTTGATATCTTTTACAGGAAAGTGATACAGCTATCAGACCCCTGTAATGAGAAGTGTGGATGCTCAGGGAAGGAGTTCATGCCGATCTGTGGGATCAACAATTTCACATACTTCTCACCTTGTCATGCTGGCTGCCACGGCTCCCAGACTACAGGAGACATTACTGTAAGATTTAGTAAATCGTCAAAATAAGCTTAGATGCACATGTTAAGGTGATTAATAAACAAAAGCAGCAAACTGACACACTTTCTCCAATTAGCTTGTCAACAGGTGTTTTATGGTGTTTTATTTGTATAAATCACTAGTATTGCAAATTGCAATATTAGCATATATCCATGCACAATATACTAAATGCAATTTCCAAATTGCATCTCAACATCAACAATAGTTTTCATGGACCTATAAATAAAAATTCAAGATGGACTCAGATAAACCGGTGTACACTTCAAACCTACCAACCATCTACAATATTTACATTTCAACAGCAACCACCCAAAGAACACCAAAAGATCCATACCGTTCCGTCAATCCATCAAAGGCAAAAGGATTTACAGCCACAATAATGAATTAAACAAGTTCAATAACAAAATATCTGACACATTCGTAAAAAGAGGTTATCCTAGAAAGCTGGTGGAGAACCAAATCCATTTAGCGTAAGACCATCCGCAACCAAAAAATGAAAAGCAAAATACTAAAAACATTACACTCGTCACAGTCTACCACCAAGGCAAAGACTAATTTCGTTAAATAGCATTTTAAAAGAGGGTTTCAAGATCCTCAAAGCCTCTAACCGCACCATAAATTTTTTGAAAGATTCCCAAATTATTTTTTCCATTCTTGACCTTTGTTGCCACTGTTCTTCATCCTCATGTACCTCTCTCTGTTATAGCAGTAATGTCTATCATTAATCAAGTGTTGTGTCTAGCTCTACTCCAACTGCAGCTGTATAGAGGAGGCTGGTGACAATGGTGTACAGGCTACTACACAGGTGTGCAAGTCTACTTGTCCTTTGTTGCCGCTATTCCTCATCCTCATGTACCTCTCTCTGTTATAGCAGTAATGTCTATCATTAATCAGGTGTTGTGTCTAGCTCTACTCCAACTGCAGCTGTATAGATGAGGCTGGTGATAATGGTGTACAGGCTACTACACAGGTGTGCAAGTCTACTTGTCCGTTGTTGCCACTGTTCCTCATCCTCATGTACCTCTCTATGTTATAGCCGTAATGTCTATCATTAATCAAGTGTTGTGTCTAGCTCTACTCTAACTGCAGCTGTATAGAGGAGGCTGGGGACAATGGTGTACAGGCTACTACACAGGTGTGCAAGTCTACTTGTCCTTTGTTGCCGCTATTCCTCATCCTCATGTATCTCTCTCTGTTCTTTACCTTCACTGCTGCCATGCCTGCGCTCACCGCCACATTGAGGTAAGGGTGTTAATTAATGTTGCTCAAGTAAATAATATGAGTTTAATGTATATGTTATGATATGAATTGCAATTCAACCACACCTGTGGGCAACAATATGAAGTTTGGTTCCGCAGCGGTTTTGGGTGTCCATTTGCGCTGCCTTGGAAAAATCTTTACTCTTTGAATTTGAAAAATTATATGTATATTCCAAAGGTGAATAGATGCTAGATTTTTATTATTTGGCAAATACAAAATCCAAATGACTAATTTAGTAGAACTAAATCTACAAAAGTCGGTTCACTATCAAAATAATAAACAGAGGCAAAAGCTAGTAAGAAAAACTCCAATATATTGTTCTTTGGTATATTCCATAGATCCGATGATCTATATTTTCCTATACTTTATGAGGTAAAAACATTGTTACAGAGTTCTATTACAGTAAACTCTTTTGCGATTTTTTAATGTATTGTTTTTAGAAAAGGATATCTTTGACTAACACTCAATCAACTACCATCTAGATGGAATCTACAGTAGATCTAGTACAGAGAAGATTTCAAGGAAGTCATTTCATTTATTTGCTCACCATCTTCACTTGGTACTTACTACTAGACTTTAGTCTTTAAACCTGTAAACCAGCAGATGGTTACTTCTTCTGATGATCCCTAACGATGCACAGATGTGTCAAATCGGACCAGAGGTCCCTAGCGCTAGGGATTCAGTGGATGCTGGTGCGGATGCTGGGTATGATCCCGGGACCTCTACTGTTTGGGATCATCATCGACGGCACCTGTCTGTACTGGCACGCAGGAGCTTGCAGTGAGGGAGAGGGCTCCTGCATCCTCTACGACCACTACTTGATCAGCAGGTCAACTATACACAATCTTAGTAATAATATAAACTATAGTTTAATGTATGTCAATCTGATTCATCATCTTTTGATTGCAAGACACAGTAAAGAAACTGATAATTATACTTTTCATTAAAGAAATTTACTGTTTGTAGGCTACTCTATTTGCTTTTGATTTTTTTTCTTCTGTACGTACAATGGTCTTAACGGCAAATAATGATAAGGTAACTAGGCAAAATCTTTACAATTACCTGTGCACATAGCTTTTTTTCAACAGTTATTCAATAGCCATTTTCATTCAAGCTAAACAATTTTTTTCTCTCTTTTAAAATAGCTATAAATCAATTTATTTTTTTAAAATTTACTCTAACGTTTTGTTTTACTTAGTGTTTACATCACACTAGTTTAGCCTCACCTAAATGCATGGTTACTTCTTCAAGTTTCCTTTTGCAAGTGTGTTGCCTTTTTTGCAACCATGATCTTGAAGTTTCTTTACAAATTTAATTCCACTGAATACTGGATTTAATGAATAATTTACTCCAGCCACAAATGCTGTAACGCTCTGCAATTCTTGTTGTAATTTATTCACACTTATTACAGCATTGTATCAATGCATATCTCCTTTATATTTCTTTGGCTCCGGTTTAAGTATCTCAAATTTTATATTAACTTGTAACATGTTTTATTTCAGATCCATGGTTTTGATGGGCTGCGGATGGAAGAGCTTGGAAATAATTTTGTTTGCCCTTTCAATATATTTTTATAAGAAAGATATTCAGACTTCAACCTCTAGAAGTTGATTTAATCATCATTCAGTTTGTACATAGAATGTCTCTTTGTAGCATATCAATTAATACATTTATTTAAAACTATTTTTTTATTTATTTTTCTAAATATTCTGTGCTTTTATAATTTAATGAAAATAAAATAGTTTGTGTTCCTAAACCAAAAAGTAACTAAAATGAAAATAGTTACCTACCAAAGTATTCATCCTTAGTAAGAATAGAACATTAGTGTTCATTGAGCCAAACCATCTTGGATCTTTTTAAATTTCATCACTTTATGAATTTGTTTGAATTGATTAAATTAATCAAACCGTCAAGTTGAAATCTTTCTAATCTGCAAGGTTTACTAAGTCAAGAATAGTTTTTTTAAAACAAACAAAGTTTTATAAATGTGAGAGCAAACAATGTGAAAAGGGCATTGACTGAACCAATGAACCTATGGTTGAAGTTAGTCATTATGACTGTTAGCACATACAAGACGTTAGGCATAAGTGCTTCAAATAAAAGCTCAGCATTATAGTGTGAGGAGTTCTTAGTAACAACAGATTTTTGTGGACAATTATGAACTTTACCAAAAATAAAGTGTTTATGTTGAACAATGACAATTTTAACTTTTGACATAAATTGATTTTGAAGTACCACTTTTGACTTAGTTTTTGCCTTTAAACGTTGCTGCAAGAGATGATTCTTGTCCGTGTTGTGTTTGTGTTATTACTAACATGCAAAGCTTTAGCAGAGACAGTTCATGTACGTCGTCATCCCCGTTATCTTGTTTTTCCTCCAGGACTCGGGAATAAACTCCAGGTAAGGTGTACCCTAGAATGAATGTGATAGTATATTACATTACCAGTACCAAAAGTGGCATTTTCCAGTTAGCACTTAAGTGTCATGTGTTTATATTAATTTCCAACAGATAGTTCCAATTACAACAACGCACACATTGTTAACAGACTTATGGCAGAAGATGCAATGGCTTGAAACAAAAACAGTTATATTGTTGTATATTTTCCTGTCGGGTAATTGGAGAGTGAATTGTAATGTTTAAAATTAATTCCTTATCATTTCACTTTAAACGAGCTATAAAAAATAAATCAAATCATTTATGTAAAACCATTGTTAGCAATGTTACCAAGGAGCAAAGATGAACACCATGTAAACACACATGCTTCAGATATAACAATATGATAAGAAGTTTCCTAACAGTAACTTAAAGCCAATTTCAGCAGATTCTTTTTTTAATGTTATTATTTTTTAACCAAGTCACTTTCATCAATTTATAGAGGATAGGTAGAGAGGACTTGCTAGTTCTAACTTCGCCTCTTAAATAAAGACATTTTTCATTTCATTTTATTTCAAGTCATTCTGTTTTACATATTTTGTATTTTTTCTCCCAAATGAGGCCAATCATCACAATTTTTAAAACTTTCCTCTCACTTTTGATGGTAAACTTAGAACTGTTCCATTTATTTTACAAAATATTTAACTTTTAATCTTTTACCCAGATCATCTGTGGGTTTGGTGTCCCCATTGACGCTCCTCGTACCAGTCTCACCTATGGACTTATCCTCAAGACTAACTACGTCCTGCCCACCAACGCCACGCAGTTCACTGATCCTTACGTAGCATTTGCTCGCCGTGGGATCGGAGCTTCTCGCTGGCATCTCTACTATACTGCTGAGGCTGTACTGTCTAGGTTATATTTACAATGATATTGACATTTTTAACTTGATTTTGTTTTTATAAGATGGTAGAAAATATTATGAAAATTGGCATAATGACATTGATGATAAATCCTTGTTCTTCGAATGGTTAAGAAAGTAATTTATTTAAAGTGTTAAAAGGGAGAATCACCATATAGTTTTATAACGGTTTTTTATTATCTACTAGCTGGCCCGACAGACGTCGTCCTGTCCGTGGTTTTATGTCAAATGCTTGTTCATTTTTAAGATGAGCTCGTTCGCATCACTCAATCACGTCCTGGTTGAAGTTCGTTCGCTACACTCACTCACCTTATGGTTGAAAAATGACACATGTTATTGTATCCCACAGTTTAATGAAAACATTTTCCTCCAATGCTAATATAAAGCCTTTTTTTCAATTAAAATTACTAAATAACGGTTGGATGGATTATAAATTTCCTTACATAAAAATCTCCCACTGGCACTAAGGAACACAATAAAAAAGGATAATCCAATTCGGTGCACTCGTTCTCGAGTTATGGAATAACATCAAAAAAAGGGATTAATTTTTATTTATATAGATGCTTGGGGAGTTTCAAGTAAAGGAACCACAGTGTCTTATTTACTAAGAAAAAATATGAGATCAGTAATCTTAACATAATATTGAAATAACTCCTTTTTCCAATAATCTTCCCAAGCTACTTAGCAACAATCTGAGTAATCTCTCGGAGTTTTAATCTTTTACTCCTTTGACTAAACTCTCACATCTGCATCGCACAGGCTTGGTATAGGAGGTCGCAGTTGTTTGTTAAGAGCCGTCTGTGAAGCGGCCGAAACTCCTCTTCACCACAACGGGCTGCTGGGAGAACTGCTCCACATCCTGCTCACGTTAGTCTTTGTGGTATTAAATACATTGGTAATTTTAAATTTTACAAATAATGTTTGAAACATTATGCTTAAACATTATTTGTAGACAACACTGGTTGTCAACATAACATGTCTTAAAGATTTTGTTGCAAACTTTAATGTATTGTAAACACAATTTTAAGCTATGGACAAATATGCATATCTGATTAAGATTAAATAATAAATTGAAAGAACAGAATACAAATAAAGCACAGCTGATTAATTTTTGACAGTAGGTATATAGAAAGTTCCTGTCCTAACAGGATTGCAGCTTTAATGTTACGTATGATATGTTTAAGTATGAAAAAAAGAATAGTTGTAACCAAGGTTCCTTGCCAAGACAAACATATTATGTACACGGTTCATGAGGGTGTGACTTGTATTTTTGTTCATGGGTAGTTTTGATTGATAGATTACTTGGCAAGGAATTTTGTTTTAACTATATTCAATTCAAGCTTCTTGATAACGATAAACATGTAATCGCTCACAATAATGTTCACAGTCCCACCTCCACTGAGGATGAGCCTATAGACTCCAGTGTGCTGCATTACTACGCAGCAGAACGCTACGGCAGAGCTCTGCTCAGCAATAGTTCCGCAGCACCTTGCAGTCAGCATTACGCAGCTTGTGATACGGGACTCTTGGACATCGTGTCAACCCTCGTATCCGACTCTCTATCGTCACTTCTCTGAAATCTTGCTCATGTATACTTAAACTTTATTGAATTAAAAGTGTTTGTATTATATGTCTCAATTTTTTATTTCCATTTACATTTTCCATTTTGATGTGTGTATATCCACACCTTTTTATGTAGGAGAACTGGTCTTGCTACTTCGACCTTTTTGTTAGATAGACCCATTTGTTAGCCCAATGACAAATGGCAACTGGGTATGAAAACAATCTCGCTAAGAGTTGAACCTGTCCTTCAGATTTTAAGCAAGCACTATAACCACTCTGCTACCTAGACATTTGAAGGAGCTTGCAACATTATTCTAAATGAATCAAAGATGGTATATAGTGTAAGTTTATAAGAGGTTACAACAGAAGCATATTATTTTATACTTATATACAAGTTGATGGTTTGTTGTGAGATTAAGTTAACACATGGTTACATACTTCAAGGAGGAGATGAGTATTGGCTATGACTATAATTGATACCCATTAGTCAATGGTGAAGATGATGTGCATGAGATGATAGCCTTAATACTGATAATATCAGCTGGTCCTTTAACCATAGAACCTAAACTACCAATGAGCAAAAGCAAATAAACCAATGGATCCAGTTTTAAAACCATTAAATTAATACTTAGCACTCACTATTCAATACCACAGTAGCTAACCCACTAGCTAAAAACAAAACTTGCTAACCTGACCACTCTTTGTTGTCACACCCAATGTAATTAGCAAATCAATTTTAATCCAACCATAAGAGGTAGAGTTGAAAGTATTGTGTAAAATACTTCCTAGTTAGTTAGTTTCATGATGTTTCAGTCCAGGTAACTGAAACCCCACTGGACTGAGGCTATTCTATAGTAATACCAGAAACAAAAGAACCCTGGGCCGTTTCGAGCCGCGCAGGTTTGAATGGTACACCACACCTACCGGCGCGAACCACGTGATCTTTTTGTTTCTTCGCAGGTTGTTTTGTTCTTGGTATGTCTATAGGACCAAGTCCTCTTCAGCCTTTCATTGCTTGGATCCTACACTGATCACTGATCCACCAAGGAAATAAATTATCAATCTTAGAATAATTTTTTTTATATTAAGACACAAACTACGGTTGAATATAAATCAATAGTTTAGTAGTACGATAAACATGTTTTAATATGATTTAAAAGCAAATGCATACACATCACAGATCGTAGTAGATATTTTTATAGTTCACTGAATAATGGTTAACTAACGGCATAAAGCAGTACTAACATGTTCCGCACATTTCACCAAGAGCTGTGAATGGAAGCTTGTTAAGACAGTCATGTTAATAAGCTACTTGGTCGTGAGTGGTCAATAACTGAGGTATACATCTGTAATAGGAGCTCTTCCGAATCATCAACTGCCAGAATGAAGTAAGATACTTTTTTATCCTTCATCGTTGGTATTCTTTTTAATTTATCCATTTTAATTTTATTGCCAACATTGGACCACTCAATTCAATTTGATGTTGAAATTTGTTATTGAATCATACCTATTTTATAATTTCTTTGTTTGTGGTATACTATTTATTCTGATCTTTTGTTGTTGTGGTATATTTCTGAAACAATTGGGTTACATTGGTAATCTAAATTTATATAGTGCATAATCTTGATATTAAACTCCCAAGTTAAGCTAAACCGATGACTTTTAGCTTAAAGTAGATGTCCACAGACCAGGGAAATAGGTTCTCAATTCTTTTGTCTCTTATTCAACCTATTTTTTTTTTTGTACATAATTTTGTCTGATGTGAGTATATGATCGTTGTTACATTAATAACTTTAATTTTCCATTTAACATAGCATGGCGTATTGTTCTTTCACTATCTGTAGACAATGAGGAACAATGAACATCTGCTAGCATTATTTACATTACATACTAGAGGTCGCCCCGTGGTCGAAAACTCGACTAAAAGTATGTAGTGTCAAACTTCTTTAATTTCACCCCATGCTGAATGTGATTGGAATTTCTTCCATTTGTTTTGAATTTCTGTTTATATTTTGTTGTTATTTCGTCACCAACATGGCAACCCATAAGGCCCATGTTAATTTTATTTAATTTTAAATACATTTTTTTGCTTACTTTTTAGTCTATTTTAATTAATAGTCAAAGTACTTTTTATTTCCAAAAAATATTTTTAAAAATTTGATTGAAATATAAAACCATTTCTTGGCATGTATCTTAAAAATACAAGATAATAAAGGGATTCTGATAAAGATAAAGGGAATAAAGGGATTCTGCACATCTACAGGCAAATATCTTTCTATAGACATGTTAAGAACAAAACAACCTGGACATAAACGACAAGATCACGTGGTTCGCACCAGTAGGTGTGGCGTACTCTTCAAACCTGCACGGCTCGAAATGGCCCAGGGCTCTTTTGTTTCTGGGATGTCTATAACAGTATGCGTAGATTTTCCGTGCGAAGCACAGGAGCTGAGAAAAAAGTTTTTCAATAAATATGCTTGTCTGTTGATATGATATATATAGAATTAGCCCCGTTAAACCTCCATAAGAAAAGTCGAATTTCCATTTTTACCCAATTAACATAAATATTCTCAAAATACAAATAAAACCTGCACATATAGGACCGATAACCTATCTTTTGGTACTACCCACGTGTAAATCAGTCCAGTAGTAAGCGGTCAGGGTAGCTGTCGTAAGCTGAAAAATTTGGCCCCATGTTAAAGCTCCATAAGAAAAGTTTAATTTCCATTTTTGACCCAATTAACATAAATATTTTCAAAATACAAATAAAACCTGCACATATATTACTGATAACCTTTCTTTTGGTACAACCCGTGAGTAATTCGGTCCAGTAGTATGGTCTGGCTAGCTGTCATAAGTTTTGCAAAAGTGTTTTAATATATTTCTCTGTAGCTCTATACATACGTACTGTATTTAGCAAATATACAGTAACCCTGTACTCTCTATCTTTGTTTCCAGGACAGTTGTTTTACAACTTTTAACATTTATTGTCTCATACTCCAGTGCCTCTGTTGTTATGACTGGTGGAGGAACTTTCAAGGTAAGTAACGAGTCAAGTTAAATACTTTTCACTTTTCACCCTAAACTAAATCATTTTTTTGCGTTACATGTTATAATTAAATAAAATAATAATTTTTTTACATTTTTATTGTTATTATTATGTCGAAATGTTAAAATCTCAATTAAAAGTTGTAACGAAAAACTAACTTAAAATACTAACTAATAAAGCTGTCCATAAGTATTATTTCTATTCTGAAACTAAGATTTTTCCATGGAATTAGAGGGAATCGACAGAGCAGTTTCTTAGAAATTGTGCCAGCAAGCAAACCTAACGCGGATTAGAGTATAGGAGGATTGGTTAGGACTGCTGAAGAATGGTTTATTTGTGTTGTATCATATTATTAAGAACTGTCTACTTATATCATTGTGCAATGTGTATCCAAAATCCAGTTTAATATGTTTTCTGATAAATGTTATCAGCTGATCATGGGATATTCTATTCCTGTGGATGTTCCAATGCCGATGGGAATCAACTACGTTCACAACTTCCAGTTCCAATATCCTACAGTCACCAACGCGTCACAGGTGGCGTATGTACAACAAGGCGCGAGGGACAACCAGCGGCAACAACGAGCAGTCACTCGTAAACACGTATACAACATCATCCAGGACATGCTGCTACAGTAATTATTTCATTATAATGCAAAATATAATATATAGATGTTGCATCTTTGTCAATAGTTTGACATATCAATAGTATATTAAACACTAACATAATCGTAAGAGACAAAATAAATTAATCACTTAGCACAGAGAAGCAGGATACAGAGGATACAAGCTTATCGGACAACCGTGCGCACTTAGCTCTGGAATGTTGGGGCGGAAATGTACTTGTAACGAGCAAGGATGAAGAGCCAAAACGGCGATGACCACATAGGATTTTTTTTGTAGCAGTTTAGCTCACAGGGTCTTCCTACAGCGTGAATGCTGTAGTATGTGATGGCGAGGGGGAAAATTAGAGCAGGAGCAGACAACAAATAGAATTTGCTCTAGATACCAGCGACTGCTAGACACCACTTCAGTGTACCATTGAATGTATCCTCTGTATCTTACTTCTCTGTGCACTTTCTAAATAGCTGCTTTTATGCATTAGCAACATTGAAAACAAATTAAGCCGTTTAGAGAGGTTATCTATTTGTGAAAAGTATATTTTTGATTTCTAATTTAGTTTGTTATATTATGTTGCAATATGACAAATAATATAGTTCATCATACGGGCAAAAAGTGTCTTTTCAACCCTTGCCCTTTTTCTGACGTCGGTCGTTAAACTAAAACTCGGATCAAAAAGAGTCACTTTACCCCCTAGTGATTAAATATACTATTTACATCTCATGCAGCCTTAAACCTCGCACTGTCTAGATACAAATTTCCCTTAAACAATAACAAAATCTATTGATGAAGGTAAATTTGCATTATCTTATTAAATCATTACGTAACGTTTGTTTTACAGCAGTGGGTTGGACGGATCTTGCCTGCTTCGCTCAGTCTGTGAAAGTAGTGAATCTCCCATAATGCACAGTGGTCTCATCGGTGAACTATTACAAACTTTACTGACGTGAGTATTAGCATATGTTGTCTTTTAACATATTTCAATATAATTTATCTTCTAACTAGAGTGGATTTATAAGTCAGATCAGCAAATTAAACTCATTATGTCATCAAATCTATTTATAAATTAATAATTGTCTAGGTACTAAGTCATTATTTTTTTTATAGAGGGCCATGCTTATGATAGACCATGGGATTGCATGGCAGCTGAAACCGCTTATTGAGCACCCTCATTCATAGGTCCTCATTCTCCGTAAAATCCCAGGTTCTTAGTGAACCATGAGATCCTTTGGACTTTGTTTACCTGTTCTTCCCATTGATCTGCGTTCACTAAGCCAAGGGATCTCACACGCAGACCTTGTAGGGCTGGGCACATAAATACGCTTGTTGCCCCTGTTGAGGTGGGAACAGAACAAACATTGAGACCTTCACAGCTTTCACAAGGTTTCTGGCTGGGGCAAGCTGGAGCGGGATTTCCCCCAAAGGGACTCAGCTTCTGAACTTGCTTGACCAGCCAATCCTTTGTGGCTGCGTTAGCACAACCAACCACCAAGGCTCCGCCTTTAATATGACAGCTGCTTATCCTGACGTCTTTGCCACGAATGGCACGCCTGGACAGCTCCCCCTTGATTTTGTTGGCTTCTGCCTGTTGATTTTCTGACAGCTTCATGTCTGGGTGTTCAGTCTGGTGATGGTCATCTTCTCCACGGACAGTTTCTCCAAATAGGCGGGAGCTGGTGCCCTCTGTGAAACTCTCGACCCCTCTCCCTCTTTCGTCCTTGTCTTCTTCTTCTCGCCCCTGGCATCCCCAGGTGTCAGGTGCTCTTTCCTCCTTTCTTCGTTTTTGGGGTGCCGCCCTCGCCCTGCTTTTTACCAGCATCCTGGTTCCCAGAGGAACCGGCTTCGCTGGGAGCAAGGTTAGGGTACTTAGCAGCCCACGCCAGCCAAATCTCCTTTTGGAGAGCACCTATTCGCCCTTGGCTAAGGCATCTGCTATCCTCTGAGTTCACATCTCGCTCCTGGAAAGTTGTTTTATCGGCTCTTTTCCGGTTTCTGTGAGCTTGCCTTCACCGTCACATTTCAGTAGACTTTCCTCCTCCATTGGGGTCAGATCGTCTACGCTCAGTCCAGCAATAGGAATGCTTTCGTTCACACTCTTCTTGCACATCAAAAATGGTTTGGTGGATTTTGTTGTTGTTGTTTTTATCAAAAACATCCATATTGTTCCCACGAGTACTGGGTATCTAAGGTCCACCTCCCCAGTGATCTAATTAGAGAGGTGAGAGGTACATACGACTGGGTTCCCCCAGGTTCCCAGAAGGCTCCGTAAAGACATTGAATATTAGGCCCCCAGTGTCACAAGACTCTCAGCACGGCTTGCATAACACCTTAGTCTAGGGCCCTCCTCACTTGGTTCTGTAGGTGGACTAACACCTCGTGGCGGAAGGTAGCTCTCTGCAGCTAAGTGAGAGTTGGAGTTTAAGATGTGTTTAATCTGCCGATCCAACCCCGGCCAATCTGTGTGAGGTTTGGTCGGAACGGCACCAAATGTTCTCCCATTCCCTAAACCCCCATACCTTCCCTGAGTCATTATAGTTCACACCTTCAAATTTGAATGTTGCTGGTTCAAATCCAAGCAAGATTGTTTTTGGAACCAGATACCACTATATTGGGCTATCAATCAACGATGCTCTGGTAAAAGGTCGACGTTAGATAGTAACAAGACCAGGGTTTAGACCGTTCCCTTAAAAAACCTAAATAATGTCAAAAGCATAGTAGATATAAACATAATAAAATATTTACAAATAGTGTTTAAGATGTAGCTTTAAATTATTTTTACTAACTCCACAAAATTTTTATTGGTGTTTTTACCACAGTCAAATTCATTAAATATAGTTAGCTGATTAGCTGAACATGATGTTTTCACAGGCCGCAAGATCCAGACGAGGACAGCGAGTATGGGGCAGCGTGGAGGGCTGGACTAGAGGGACAGAACTGTTCTACCCTCTACCCGCTGTGTCCTAGAGGACTCACCATGCTTGATCAATTCAGCCACTACTACATGTAATGAGTTATTCTCTCAAGCTGATCCATGTGAATCTCTCATTTGCACTTCATTGTATGATAGAGGATATAAGAGAGATATTTTGTCAACAATTTCCAACTTACAAACTCCCTGTAATCTAAAAAGTTTTCAGGCCACAAACCAGTTCTACTTGATACAAGGAAATGTTTGTTTCTTGTATTTTAGGCATAACAATTTTTTAAATAATTTTTTTATCTGTAAATTTATGCTAATAATCAAGGACAACTGTTTTATAAGTGTCATGTTTACGTCTTTTTTTAAATATCCATACTTGATAGATGAATATATATAAGATAGATGAGCCTGTATTACTCTTTGGACAATACAAAATTTAACACTCATCCTTCCTTCACTAACTTTTGCTTTAAAATACACAAGCCTTGGCGTGTCATCTTATCTGTAAAATATTAATAAATCAATCAGCAACATACATTGTTTACACTATTGTTGCTACCAGTCCAATCTTACAACGTTCCGAACCCGTTTCATTGTTTCTTAAACTTTTTGCTTTATGGAGACAACTTCATCTGGTCATATGGTCAGCTAACAAAAACGTATGGATTGTGTAGAATCACTTTTCGAGCTGATGATGCCAAGTTTGCCATGAGACAGGGTGTCTATTTTGTCAATTCTTCTTGGAGGTTGTTATGGAAAGAAGTAGCAATATATTTAAGGTTTTAAAACAGGACATACATTGTAAACATATCTAATGTTTTTTGTGGTTAAACCTCTTGTGAAAGAATTGTAAAATGTTTTATAATATGTAGAAGAGGCTATACATTGATCATAAGTGAGTTATATTAATAGTAAACAAATCAAATTGTATTTTTAAGATGATGGATTTTGGGTATAAAATATAGGTTTGAAATATTGTATAGTTAATATTTTATTATTTATAGACAGTCAGTGGTAAAAGATATATACAATACAAAAATTACTTACACTATGAATTAAAAAGTAACATTTCTTCCAATTATTATACATATTTGGGAAAACTCCTTGAGGTAGATATAGTCAAGCATTGTTGCATTATCACAACTTTTTTTTATAAAACAACAGATATATTTAGACAGATATGATTAAAAAAACACATTATCTTAATATATTTATAGTGTTGATTCTCTTATAGCTAAAGATTGAAAACACTCATTCTTCAATACCAAGCAACAATTTTTTTTTCATATTGTAATCTTTTTTATAAAAAAATTAATAAGTAAAAAATTCCAGAACAAAATAAATCATGACTACAAATAACATTTTAAAGCAAATCAATATATATACAGGGTTGGGCAAATGTGTGGATACCCCTAGTTAACTTTTTAACACGTTGCAATAGGAAAACCTAACTCGACACATATTTACAACATAAGAAATTGCACTTTTTCATCAAAGTTACAACTTTGCCCCAGCCCCCAAAATGGGGTATTTTGGGGGCAGCCCCAAATTTTCAAATGTAAACACCTATCATGTGACCCCTCATTTTAAAGGGTTTATTAAGAGAAATTGAATGGCGCAAACCAGAGGTCAATATCGCACGCCTAATCAAAATGGCAGCCATTTTAATTTAAAATGAGCAATCATGATAAAGTCTGGACACCCCCAGTTAACTTTATAACGTGTGGCAGTGGGAAAACCAAACTTGGCACATGTTTACAACATAAAAAAATGCACTTTTTAATTTAAGTTAGAACTTGTACCCGGCCCCCAAAATGGGGTATTTTGGGGGCAGCCTCAAATTTTTAAAAGTAAACACCTATCATGTGACCCCTCATTTTAAATGGTTTCTCAAGACAAATTAAATGGCGCAAACTAGAGGTCAATATCGCACCCCTAATCAAAATGGCAGTCATTTTGGAATATCCCCTATTAATTTTTTAACAGTTTATAGCAGGAAAACTGAACTCAGCATACCTTTATGAAAAAAGAGAATTCACCTTTTGGTCAGTATTAAAATATTTAATTTTTAAAGTTAACTGTGGGTGTCTAGACTTTATCATGATTGCTCATCTTAAATAATTAAAATGGCTGCCATTTTGATTAGGCGTGGGATATTGACCTCTGGTTTGCGCCATTCAATTTCCCTTGATAAACCCTTTAAAATGATGGGCCACATGATAGGTGTTTACATTTGAAAATTTGGGGCTGCCCCCAAAATACCCCATTTTGGGGGCTGGGGCAAAGTTGTAACTTTGATGAAAAAGTGCAATTTCTTATGTTGTAAATATGTGCCGAGTTTGGTTTTCCTATTGCAACGCGTTTAAAAGTTAACTAGGGGTATCCACACATTTGCCCAACCCTGTATAGATTTTCTTAACTTCACTATATTGTTATAGAGGAACTGAAATTGAAATTCTGATTTTGTAATTTTATTTTAAAAACTTACTAATAAAACTATCTTACTAATATTATAAATCTGAAAGTTTGTGAGTTTGTGTGTGTGTTTGTGTGTAATAAAACTATACATATATAATTTAAAGGTAAAATATATTGGATTTTTTCATCAAATCAAATTAAATGCCACTTTGTGTTGATGGTTCGAATAAAACCACTTTAAGCGTTATACAGTATTTTTGAACTATTATACTACATAAATATAATTTTCAAAATTAAATACCTCTACAAATTATTCTAATTATTTAAATCCCTCCATCTTTATAAAAAAAGCTTAAAATGGACTATGTGATGTAGGCCTTCCTAGCATTTTACACTTGATTCATGACTATATTTGCTATAGTGCAGCCAAAAGTAAAAATAAACAAAGGAAGGCTGCGTTGTAGTTTTTATACAAACATAATGAGGCCAAATAATAATAATATCCAACATGGAGACCAAAGTACTGGTTCTCAGATATATTTAGTTTTCACAACATAAATCTTTTATATATAACCCATAGCTGATAAATAATTATAAAGTAAATATGCAATCATATCAATAGTCCATACACAAAATACATTTATTAATAGGTTTTTCACATTTTTATAGAGATAACATTGAAACTAGGAGATAAAAAAACAACATCTCTTTATAATTTTGCACAAATTTCATTGAATTAAAAAACAACCTTTCTCACACAAATTATTACCAAGATATTTACATTACATTTTGAGTTAATTTTTAAATAGTGTAATATTATAATATATTAAAACCTACTCTGATGTATACAAAAATAAATGCTACAAATATTCAACAAAGGTATTTCAACAATCGAGCACTGCAATAACTAATTTCAATTACGTAAGACTTGTTTACAGATTTTTCTAATGACTATTTACACTGGCTATTTACGCAAACATAGTTCATATAAAAATACTAACTGCACATATTATTCAACACTTATTTACAGTATTCACATTATCTAAAGCTAAGTTGGTTAAAACAGTCAAATATTTACACTGTACACATCTATCTCTACACTCGTAAGCACCTGACGTTGGTAATGCTAACGGACCGAGAGAGAGGTCAGTATTGAGGGTTGGGAGAGTTACGGGGATGCTGCTGAAGGTAGGGGGGAGGGGGCCCAGCCACGGGGATTCCTACGTTTTGTTGCGGACTTTGACGAACATTTCCTTGCTGGAAGTTACTAGCTTGTTTGATGTTCTGGGCATAATTTCCACGGTTCTGCTGGTTGCCTTGATTACTCTGGTAGGATCCGTAACTGGAGTCGGCTGAGTCTTGCCGTCTTGTACCGTAAACTGACTCTGGTCTGCCGGGGATCTTCCCGTATATTCCGCCGGTGCCGTTGTTGATGGATCGGACACCGTAGACGCTCTCACCACCGAGACGCTGTTGGTTCTGCTGGTTCTGATTGGCCGCGTTGGTGTTGCTGGTTGTACTGTTGAGCCTCATTGGATACAGGGACTGAGCAGGGACCAGGGGGCCTGGCCGAGGTACTATACCTGCAAAATAGATAGAGAATTATAGGATTGCATGGATATATTTGCTAAATATAGTCCAACCTTTTACCTAAAATAAATACTAATGGCTATCTATGAGTGCCTAAAAATTGTTTACTCTTCAGAGAGTGTATGATAAATAAACTTAGTAACATCAACACCATAAACAGCCTAGACGATAATTTCTTTATATATGATTAATTTTTAGATCTTTGAATATAGAAATAGCATTGAGAGTGAAAATTCTTATGGGGCTAATGAATGTCTAAGTTTTTTTTTCAATTTTGGATCAGTAGATTTGATCAATACTAATACTACCAGTTTTGAGTGAAAGAGGAATAAAGAAATTGTGACCAAATAAGCACTGTTTTTACTTATAGATTCTAAACTGTCACTCCTAACAGTTTGCTCAAGACACTCAAGACACAAGAAACGAGTTTGTCCTTCATAAATTTCATGTGAAGCGCATTTTATTAGGTAAAGTACTAAACGAGAGAAGTATTACGTTGTTTGAAAGTGTTATATTTGTATGGGTTCTAATTGAAGGATTTTCTATGGTTTCAATATATTTTTCAAATAATTGTAAACTTGATACTAAATAACAATGCCTCTATACAAAAGGATAAGGTCAGATGTTGTTATTGCAGATGTAGATTTGTTTATTTGCAATACACTAAAGCAGCTGTTACAATAAATTTACTACACTAGTAAGTAATGCCTATTATTGATCAAAACTAAGCCTACCCTCTCTGTGTACGATGGGTCCGGAAGACTTGGTGTAGACGGATTGTGATCTGTTAAGGTTGGCGCGGGTGAGTGGAGGAGACTTGGCGTACAGTGACTTGGTGCCTCCGTAGAGGGACTCCACGCGGTCTAGCTTACACGGCGGCGCAGAGTACAGACTGGCGCAGTAGCCTGGCGCTCCTGTAAACAGAGATAGTCATCACTATAATATATTTACTAGGAAATGCTGTATAAGCTGTAGGGAAATCTTATCTGAGACTGTTCTGAAAAAAAGGAAAATGTGGAAAAGATAAAAAGAAGAAAAGGAGAAAATTTCTTCTTTGTTTTTGTGGGTGTCGACTATCATAATTTTTAATGTGCGACTAAAAAGGATTTTGTGTTCGTAGTGATATGAACATGATGCTACAGGAGCGAAACACATAATCTTGTAGGATAACAGACGACTACATGGCAGATTAAGACATTGTATTTCTAACCTTTATTCGTTATAAAGGGATTAACTCTTTGGAATTCATCAGGAAAACTATAATGCCATAATGCTCAAAACACGCTATTTTGTTTTTACTATAACTTTTTAAGTAAAATGTTTCATGGATTTAACATATAAAATTGAAGTTGTATCTCTCAGTAATGAGACAGACAACTATTCTTCTCCAATATACAGTTCCTGTCGTTCTGACATTTTTACAATGAATTTTATTGTTACAGAATAGTGATACAATACTCTTTATTTTGTTGCTAAAACAGATCAAGTAATTCTACAGAAACCTTATGGTGTTCACAAGTGTAAATCACGAACTCCAAAGATGAACTTTGATAAACTGATAAGTGATGAACTGACCATTAGGTGAAGCTGATGTGACAGGTCCGTAGAGCGCTGCGCCGGGCTGCACCGAGCGCAGAGTATTGTATGTTGAGCGCGGCTTGTCTAGCTCATCATAAGTGTCCTCGTCTGAGTGAATACTAGAAGAGTCTGAAACATTCAAGTCAATGTTACTTTAATCTAATAATCACTGGTGTACAGGATGTGGAAGATTTCTTTAGAAAACCCCTAATTGTTTATTGAGGAAAATACAAAATAGTGCACTCCTAATGATTTTCATCATTAATTAAAAATTCTAGTCAGGTAAATATCAAATGTTAAAGATAACTAACTATAATTATATGTTGCAATAGAGAAAAAAAATAGCTTTTCTTTTGAGCAACAAACTTGATAGCTGAACTATTCTCTCTGTTTATGTTAATTTAACACAAATATTTATTCTGATTTTAGTATGCGTATGTATCAAAGCTTACCTCCATCAATAGACTCCTTGGATTGGTTCCCGTGTCTTCTGGGGTTGAATATATACTCGTAGATAAGACCTGCAGCGATTCCTCCCAAAATAGGGCCAAACCAGAACACCTGGAAAATAATAACTGTTACTTATTTATTTCTCTTAACGGGAAATATCCCTCTTTTTTAATCGTCAATTAGAACCAACAAATTAAATTTTAATATTTGGTATTGTTAATTCATTTAATTATAAAAAAAAATCACAAAACGACACACAAGCTGGTTTGTTTGCTCAAAACAAAAGACCTTCCACATCTATGCATACGGTACAATACAGGTAGAAATTAAAAAGCAATCGAGTATTGAAACAATGGAAAACTAATCCCTCAAATTGTAAACTTTCTTGACAGATCAATGAGTGCCTATAAATTTATAATGCTATTGCTAAGCACAGGTAGAGTTTAGGCATAGATTAATCTTACTCCCTTAGGAGGGAGTATGTTTAATCTGTTTAATGTTTTAAAGTTAAAAATGTTTAATGTTTAAGGGAGTATGTTTAATCTATGGTTTAGGTTTAATGTAAGAAGGGTTCAACAAGAAAGTTTTATATGCAACTAAGTTACAAATTAAAGAAGAACTCACCCAGTGGTAATCCCATTTGTTCATGACAAATGCTGGACCCAGAGCTCTGGCTGGGTTAAGCGCTGGGTTGCTGGGACTGTAGGCTGGGCTGCTTGACGTCTACAACAGAAAAAACACAGGGTCATTTTGATACGTCTCAGAGGAAAGTTTCAACAAAGAAATAGAAGTACTGATTAGTCTAGGAACTACAGCAAAATGCAAAGAACCCGTCTAAATTGTGACAAGATTGTGTCAATGTGACAATGATTGGGATTGTGTCAAGTATCAATATCATAGATAATAATTATTTAATTAGTAGAAAAAACTTATTTTATTATTTATTTTCTGTTTACCGAACATCTATATACACGAGGGAGGAATTCCCAATGAAGCCCCCAGTTACAGAAGAAAAAAAACAATACCTAAAGGAGAATTTGTTAGGTTTGATAGATTGAGCTGTTATGTATGAAATATATTTTTAAATGCATGTAAACACATTTTGGATGTTAACGATTTTTTTTTAATTTTTACTATCTTCTTTTGCATACAAAAAATTGCCAAAACCGTAATTCGAAATGGTAAATACGTAGGATTAACCCTTAACGAATCATCTTAGAATACGTCAATCTACAAGTCTACCCAGCAAATAATTAATTAACAGAACCGGTACCGGAGCACCGCAGTAAATAAAGGAGGATCAGATTGTAGCCTCACCACTAGTGATCAGTGATCGGTCCGGATCGGTATTCCAACTATCACGGCTCAGTGTCGCCGCCGAGGCAGATTCTCCACATCCTTATAATTTAGTTACTTCCACCACCGATTTTCCCAGGTTCGATTTAGTAGCTACGAAATGCCGCTTACTAAACCAAGACGCATTTCAGAGATGACATTTAAGACCGAAACGTAAGGAGATATTCCAAATTTTTCCGAGGGGACATTCCCCACCGTCTCGTCTAGCGCCGGGTACCGAAGAATCCGAAGCAGAACTATATTTCTTGATATTTAATTGGTCTTTAAAATCTTGAAAGATGCGGTTAAACTTTTAATGTATTTGGTATTTTGTGAAATGAGTGGACATTATTTTGATATGGGAGTTGTTCGCAATTTGAAACGTTGCATTTACTTCAAACAGTTTTAAATAGTAAAACAATACTCTCATAAAGTACAAATCCGACCCCACCTGATTTGGTTATGTAATAGGAAAACCATCAGTTGAAAACACATCAAGTATTGCAAAAATATGGACTTTTTTGTAGCTTCAAAACTTGTAGTGAAGCATACAATTGAATTAGTCTTATATGAAAGCATATATCGACGGTTAAAGTGCGTGCTTGGGATGTAGTCCGCCTAGCGGACACCCGTGAATCAACTTACTATGGCCCTTGGCTAAATTACAGTTAATAGTCTTCTACATAAAAAATGGTAAACATGGCAAATTTCCAATTATATTGAAATATGCAGACTTGTGAAAATAGTTTGCGATTTTTTCCTTTCATACTGTAACTTTTTATGAACTTCTAGGTGACTGAGCACAACCAATAGCTCTTTCAAAAGCGTTCAGCTTTGCGGTCTTTGAGATCGCCTTTGACTTGGGATTCGTTTATTGGCACAGTAATTGACATCCCTTCAATTTAAATGAAAATTGTTGAGTGGAAAACGAAATAATTATACTTACTTACCAAAAAATTAAGTCGAGGTTCGTCTTGAATCATTTATATTTGTCTTTACAAATTACATGAATACAGTAATAACCAAATAGAACTTATTGAATATTCATTGCTTGAATTGTTACTGGATTTATTTTAATGCAAGCATGCAGTGAATAGCTATCACTACCTACCCACTGGTTGTTGGAAACAAAAATAAGGTTAATTTTAAGTTTTCGCAGTTAACACTTTGAAAGCATTTTACTATTGCTAACCGTTGTGCAACAAAGGCAAAAAGCAGCAGTTTTAAATTGAGTGTGTCTACGCCAGAGGTATTTTTCAAAAAAGTTTACGGGAAAGTTTCAGAACCCCAAATTTGTTTAGTTATGCCGGTGGGTTGAACGCGTACCTCTCGCACCGAAGTTCAATACTAACCACTAGTCTAAATTTTTAGTTTGAAACTATAAAAAGACAGCAAGCACACGACACAAATAAAGCTCGGTAAAATACACATGAAATCTAAAAGCCCGTCTTCACGAACCAAAAGAAATTCAAACGGACGGCCTAAGGTCAAGCGTAAACTCAAATAGTTTAGAAATTATTTGTAGTTTTCTGTAAAACCTCAAATAATTGGCCAATCAAACAACGGACAACCTGAAAAGTAAAGACTCATCATCTCAGCGCCGCCAACGATTTTCACTTCATATAGTACGCTGCTGGCCGCGGCGACGTGATGGAGAAGGCAGTGAAGACGAGCGCGCATTCCCACACAGTCGTGCGGTTGCCGCCACTCGTAAACTATCCGTGGTAATTACCCGCCACATTTATAAACTGTCTTCAAACAATTGGTTTATGAGTAATGTTCGCCCGTTTGGACTCAAGCCGCTACTGGCGTAGGCGATGAGGTTCACACAGAGTATAACTGCCTTCTGAGAGTTTTGGCGCTATCATTAGGGCAAGCCACTGAAAAAATTGGCAGTGGATTTTTTATGAGGAGGTTCTATAGGAAAAACTGATTACAATAAATAACAATTTATGCTCTCATGACTGCAGAAGTAAAGTGAACCTGCGAGATGCCAAATAATGTATAGCTTGTAGCACTGACTACTGTTAACAGCCGATAGTCTCTTTTCATTTTTAAGAACACCGACCATTTACTGGTTTCTATTGTGAGTCCAAAACGTAAAAAAACAAATGTTCACTTTTTTAATCAACATTTTACTGTATATCAATTCTGTAAGACAAGCCCAGCAGATCTATCATGATTGCTGATCCCTCTTGATTTTCATGTAACTTTTAGCAATTGGGTAATCAGGACTATGTTGGGAGTTGGATACAGATGTTTTTTATAATGACGCAAGGACTACTCTAAGCAATCAGTGAGACTTAACTCTTTAGGAAATTTCTAAAAAAAAGCTTACAACTGAACAATTAGAAAAAATCAACCAACAGAACTATCAAACATCTACACAATCTGCTCACGCACTCTGTTTAACGAGCACTAAATCCAACCAGCAACAAATGTCGATCTCCTGTTTCCATCAGATAAACTCCCTTGTTGAGAGCTTCTGGGTAAAACGGAGGATGGAATCCAAAATCCGACAAAAACGCTGATAAACCACGACAAGGCAAAAATTTAAGTCGCCAAATTCATTAACACATTACCACACAGTTATTCCGCGCCTAAAATTTGTCTATTAGCTCCAGGATCGGAGTCCGACGTCGGCGGCGACTTCAAAGGGAGTCCAGGGAGAAGGATACAGCCTGTCATTTCTGTGGATTTTACGGTCAATGTCAAATTCCACTCGAGGAGAAAGACCAGTTATTTTTACGGAATGCATTTGTACATTAAGATCTTACGGTGCGATTTCCAATAGTGCGTACAAACGTTGCGAGCCGCGGATTAACTCGTCAGAACAAATTGGAGTTGTGGAAAGTTTTATTGCCGTGTGTGCTGTCGTATATTCTCATCGGGGCAAATGTAAATTGCGCGGTAAATAGTCCAAATAGCGCGGGACTTTGATGGAACGCTGGAATTTGCCGGGGGAATTTGTATTAAACAGGAAAACTCTTAAACTAGTAGTTTAATAGACAAAATGCCTTGTGACAAAGAATAATTCATATTGCAACTCTATGCCGGGGCTTATGCTAAGCAGAGTGTAAACGCAGCACATCGAGGCTAAAACCAAATGAGTGGATTACAAATTACTTTCACAACTTGGACGTAGCGAAGCAAGCCAACTGCAATTAATTATGCATAGCCTTCTGTGTTACAGTTATGCGAGTTTACATGTTTCATGACGCCTCGAATTTGTTTTGAGACTGGACTGAAAGATGACAAGAACAAGACTTGCATACAACAATACCATCCATACTATACTTGTACCTGTCATCCCTTATTTCAAAAATTTACGACAATTTCCCTTACAAATACGCATGAGGGGGACTGATGAGGATCGTGTTTATAGTCAGCCACCATTCGAAATTAGGCAATGTTCACTAACGCATGAAATTAAAGGTATAAAGCAACAAAACTATAGTTTGAAGTTAAATCATTCCCATGCAAAAATCCAAAAATGTTTTCTGACAAAATTATAAACTTTGTTAACTTCTTATTTGTACAACCCTTCATTACGAAGCACATAATAATCACAGAAAACGTACTACTATAACCCAGAATGCCAACCGCATGGTAAAAAGCATTAAGCGGTTTGAGAGAGCTTTGCCTGTCAATCCGTAGGCAGCGCCACCAGCGTTGCCATGCAATAGCATAGCAACGCTGGTGGCGCTGCCTACGGATTGACAGGCAAAGGTCTCTCAAACCGCTTAATGCTTTTTACCATGCGGTTGCCATTCTGGGTTATAGTAGTACGTTTTCTGTGATAATAATCTGTAGACAATCCATATACGCATGATAAACTAGGTGGCGTTTGCAGAGGCATCCACAAAATTGAGCGGAGCCTTCAAGGCTTCATATTATATTGTTTTTGCCAGACTGCAGTAAAAACAGTAGTTTTTAATGCATGCGTTGCGGGTCTAAAGTAGCATTTTTAATATTTAGGGAGTAAAAATCGTATTTAGCCTCTATGGAGTAAAAATCTGCTGTTGTCAACTCAGTTGTAAATTTCGATTGTAAACGATTGCATGTATCGAAAAATATGTATCGATTCGTGCTTCGTAATCATTTAACATATAGTCTACAGTCTCTTCCCGTAGCATTTTAGCATTGCACGATTGCAGATACATTAATCCATTCCCAAACTCAACACTGCTCACCTTTACTACTTCCTTCACCACACCCTACGTTGTGGACCTGTTTCCCTCTCTTCCCATAGCACTTTAGGATTGCAGATACATTAATGTAATTGTCAAAGACAGTTCCCACACTCTGCACTGCTAGCCTTACTACTTCCTTCACCATTTCATAGACCTGTTTCTTTCTTTTCTCATAGCATTAAAGTATTATCCTACAGATTCATTTATCCAACCTGTTTCCCTCTCTTCCCATAGCATTTTAGGATTGCAGATACATTAATGTAGTTGTCAAAGACAGTTGCCACACTCTGCACTGCTAGCCGTACTACTTCCATCGCCATTTACTACGTCATAGACCTGTTCCCTTCCCTTCTCATAGCATTTTAGTATTGAAGATACATTAATCTAACTGCCACAGATGTATCTCACACTATGCTGATGCTCATACTTTACTACTTCCTAAGCCACTTCCTACGTCGTGGACCTGTATTCATCACTTTCCATAGCATTTTAGTATTTTAGATACGTTAATCTAATTGCCACAAACATTCCCACACTCCGTACTGCTAGCCTTTACTACTTCTTTCACCATTCCCTATGTCGTGGGGCATGCTTCCATCCCTTCTCATAGCATTTCAGCTTTGCAGATAGATTAAAACTGCTAAAAGCGGTTTCCATTTCCCACACTCCACACTGCTCACCTTACTACTTCTTTCACCTCTTCCTACGTCGCGGATCTGTTTCCCTCTCTTCCCATAGCATTTTAAGATTGTAGATACCTAAATCTAATCGTGATAAACAGATCCCACACTCCGAACAACTATCGCCTTTACTACTTCCTTCACCACTCCCTACATCGCGGACCTGTTTTCCTCCCTTTCCGTAGCATTTTAGGATTGCAGATACCTTAATCTAATCGTCACAGACAGTTCCCACAGTCCGGACTGCTTGCCTTGACTACTTCCTTCACCACTTCCTACGTCACGGACCTGTTTTCCTCCCTACCCATAGCATTTTAGGATTACAGATACCTTAATCTAACAGATCACAAACAGATACCACAACCCGAACAGCTCGCCTTTACTACTTCCTTCACCACTTCCTACGTCGCGGACCTGTTTTCTTCCCTTCCAATAGCATTTTAGGATTGTAGATACCTTAATCTAATCGTCATAAACAGTTTCCACACTCCAGACTGCTCGCCTTTACTACTTCCTTCACCCCTTCCTACGTCGCGGACCTGTTTCCTTCCCTTCCATTAGCATTTTAGGATTGCAGATACCTTAATTTAATCGTCATAAACAGTTTCCACACTCCGGACAGCTCGCATTGACTACTTTCTTCACCACTTCCTACGTCGTGGACCTGTTTTCCTCCCTTTCTGTAGAATTTTAGGAATGCAGATACCTTAATCTAATCGTCTTAAACAGTTTCCACACTCCAGACTGCTCGCCTTTACTACTTCCTTCACCACTTCCTACGTCGCGGACCTGTTTTCCTCCCTTCCCATAGAATTTTAGGAATGCAGATACCTTATTCTAATCGTCATAAACAGTTTCTAAACTCCAGACTGCTCGCCTTTACTACTTCTCTCACCACTTCCTACGTCACGGACCTGTTTTCCTCCCTTCCCATAGAATTTTAACAATGCAGATACCTTAATCTAATCGTCATAAACAGTTTCCACACTCCAGACTGCTCGCCTTCACAACTTCCTTCACGACTTACTACGTCGCGGACCTGTTTTCCTCCCTACCCATAGCATTTTAGGATTACAGATACCTTAATCTAACAGATCACAAACAGATACCACAACCCGAACAGCTCGCCTTTACTACTTCCTTCACCACTTCCTACGTCGCGGACCTGTTTTCCTCCCTTCCCATAGAATTTTAGGAATGCAGATACCTTATTCTAATCGTCATAAACAGTTTCTAAACTCCAGACTGCTCGCCTTTACTACTTCTCTCACCACTTCCTACGTCACGGACCTGTTTTCCTCCCTTCCCATAGAATTTTAACAATGCAGATACCTTAATCTAATCGTCATAAACAGTTTCCACACTCCAGACTGCTCGCCTTCACTACTTCCTTCACGACTTACTACGTCGCGGACCTGTTTTCCTCCCTTCTCATAGAATTTTAGGAATGCAGATAGCTTAATCTAATCGTCATAAACAGTTTCCACTCCAGACTGCTCGCCTTTACTACTTCCTTCGCCACTTCCTACGTCGCGGACCTGTTTTCCTACCTTCCCATAGAGTTTTAGGAATCCAGATACCTTAATTTAATCGTCATAAACAGTTTCCACACTCCAGACTGCTCGCCTGTACTACTTCTCTCACCACTTCCTACGTCACGGACCTGTTTTCCTCCCTTCCCATAGAATTTTAACAATGCAGATACCTTAATCTAATCGTCATAAACAGTTTCCACACTCCAGACTGCTCGCCTTCACTACTTCCTTCACGACTTACTACGTCGCGGACCTGTTTTCCTCCCTTCCCATAGAATTTTAGGAATGCAGATAGCTTAATCTAATCGTCATAAACAGTTTCCACTCCAGACTGCTCGCCTTTACTACTTCCTTCGCCACTTCCTACGTCGCGGACCTGTTTTCCTACATTCCCATAGAGTTTTAGGAATCCAGATACCTTAATTTAATCGTCATAAACAGTTTCCACACTCCAGACCTTTACTAATTCCTTTTCCAATTTATACGTCACGTACCTCAAGCTAGTGTCGTCATTTGATTATATTTATGATCTATACCACCGTTTATGTTCTAATATCTGTGGAATAATGCTGTCAGCTATTTTTTTATCTACTGCATTCAAAAGTCAACAGCTGATCATATGTAAATGTCAGCTTTGTTTATATTGTGTCAAATACTGCTTCCATAAGGATTACATTGAAACTTTGAGACCCAGTGGGGCGGATTCCTGAGAGACTTTTTTAACGTCATATAGATGTTGGCACTCACCGATATGGTCTTTATCACCATGCAAAATTTGAAAACGATTGATTCAGCCGTCTAGGAGGAGTTTTCGTATTACGAAATGCATAAGAGTCGACGTATAAGAGCTTCGCTCGCTCCGCTCAATAATGCTTGCTCTGAATCCATTGCACAGACAGATCAAATTCAGAACTATTTATTCTGGTCGTATTTATTAATTTGACAATGGAGTTTTAAGTGATGCTTTGTCAGTCAGAAATAAGAAAATAACTGAAGCACACTTTGTACATTCTTTTGACAAAACAAAAACATAAATAAAGCTAATAGTGGAACGTATACATAAGATAATGTAAAAATGTCATTGGTTAAATAAAAGTAAAGATAGAAGATATACTCACGGCTACGAGGCTGCAAGCGAGATAGGCCGCTCCTATGCTGAGCCCAGGCCCGGTCAACCAGCGTCGTTGGGAGTCCATGGTGACGAAGTAGGTGTAGACGATGACGAAACTGAGGACGACTTCGATACCAAACTTCTGCCAAGGAGTCTGAGTCGCCACCAGGACCTGAGCTAGAGTCGCCGGCATCCTCTTCTCATCCCCCGGGAACATGTTGCGGCCCGGCAACGTCACCCTGGAACAGAACGGTCCGTTGAGTAACAGGTTACAAAGTATACTGGAAAAAGTAACAGGGCACAAGGTATAAGCATAGACTAACCAACACAAGTAGACTTCTCATCCCATTGTAAATTTTGAAGCTCGTTTTACTAAGGGAGTATGTTTTATCTATGGTATAAGGTAACAAAGTAACTAGAGTGTATGGACGACAACGTCGCCACGGAATAGAACAATAGAACCGTCCCTATGTATAACATAAAGGCACTGTAATAAGAGTACTGTACCGACCGTTTAGTGACAGATCACAAAGTAATAGATGACACATAGTAAAATAATAGCTAAGCTAAAAGGTGCGCCAAAAAACCTGATGGTTTCTGTTTTGTAATAAGTCAGCTGTTATACAAGCTAGAGACCTCATTGTTGTAGTGAACTATGCTTATTTATGCCAATTTTAGGTTATGTTTGGTGAAACATCACTTCGTCGAAAGAAAGTTACTGTCTAGTGTGGTGTAGCATGGTTTGGAGTCATCGGATCATATGTTTTGAGGACGAAAGGGTTGAACACCGTCACTGTAAACTCGGAACGCTATGTGGAAATACTGAGGGGGTTTTTGGTTCCACAATTGCACTGCGAATGTTAGGAGGGATAGACATGACCAACACATGGTTTCCACAGGGTGGCGCAACTTGTCCTACAGCAAATTATTCAAAGACAGTTTTGCGTGAACTCTTTTCCAGTAAAGTGATCTATTGGTTTGTTCAGCTCGCTCCATAGACTTAATTTTCTGTGACTGTTGGCTGTGGGAATACTTAAAAACCAAAGTGTTTATTTCGAAATGTCGAACCATCTCTGAACTCAAGCAGTGTATCCGGGAAGATATTGCTTTTATTCCTCAGGCGAAGGTGGCTGCAAATATTAAAAAAATAGGAAGCCTGCGTTTAGGTCATCACCCAAGTAATATAATTTTTCATAACTGAAAATGACATAGTATTGTGTACAATATAACATTATTTAATAAAAATGTATTTTTTCTTGAGCTATTTAGTATTAAAAGCCGTCAGGTTTTTTAACGCACCCTGTAGTACAACACGAAGTAACAGACTACCGTTACAAATAAACTTAAGGGGTAAGATTTGTATATAACACGCACAGAGATTAGTAAAAGCAATTTCAAATTTTAACTGAACCATAACCTAGAAGGAGAAGCATTTACTTTTACTATTTACATTGGTGGTGATAATATATGCTAGAAAATAACTTTTTATTTAGTGCAGAAAGAATTTGCTGATGTACAAGATTCAAACAAACAGGTCGAAGTTGTGCGATCTTTTCTGTAGTATCGGATTGTTTGGTTGTTGATATAACTCCGTTGTGGTGTAACTGATTTGAGCATAAAATTTAAGAATGATTGAGATTAGGTACTTAAACACTCAAGGCAAACACGAGTTCAAATTTTTGTTGTGGACCCACACACTATAATGATACTTTTTTCTATTGTATCACACTCCTGTGTTTGTAACTAAAATAAGAAAACGTTAAATAATTCTCCAGATTCGTAGATCCGATTCGTCATTCTGTCCCTTTAAACAACGATAAACATGTAATCTTATACTTAAATGTTAAAATATTAACAAACATTAAAAAATATAGGGTCAATCGAGCTTGCTGGAGATCAAAAGGGTGTTCGCCACAATGTAATCATCCAGATCGACTGCATTAGTAAGACTTAATCTCCACTAATTTGATAACAAACAATGTGTGATTGTGAGGAACGCTTTAAGCTGGAGATATGAGGGCGATATAGGGACGAAGGGCTATGAAAGCCGCGATGATATGGGAGGAGGGATTAAATTAGGGTCAATTAGGGCTCGATAAGCCTGCTCTAGACTGGCTAGAACCGCTCCAGCTCCACTATAGAGCTAGATAATAGTAGAGCTGGACCGTAGACAATAGGATGGGGAAGATACACCTTAATTTACACTGACAAATATTTATCACACCTTAATATGCATTTTTGAAACTCGTGGAAAATATGTAGTTTTTGTCTTGTTAGCTATTACTATTAGGTTATGCAAAGGAACTTCAATAACAAGAACATCAGTTGCAAGTCAGCCTTGATAAACAGTGCCATTTTCAAATACCTTATTTTGTATTGTCCCTAATTATGTATTGTAAACCGGGTCCTTGGGGCCGAAGCCCCGCGCTCTACTACTAAAACCCCGATCAATAATAAGTAACTTGTAATTAGTAATGAATACAGTAATAAACATTAATTTATTTCTATCATTCAGCTATGGTAGAACACTATTTTGATTGGCTTTAACCTATCACAATGAAATCGCAATTTTCATCTATTTTGTCTCTTTGACACAGTAATCAAACATAACCTCATTAATAAATCGATATTCCGACCCGGTAATTATGATTAGTAGCAATTATGTCGACAAAACGCAATTGCCAAGGTATTTGGTCAACGGATAATTGAGATCGCACAACGTAATAATTGATGGCAAATTAAAACTGTATGAGCGTTAGTTAGAAACATCGGACTCAAAATTGTATAATGAGAGTGCCAAAATGTTACTTACAAAATGCATTTTTCTCTCGGTGTTTAGGAAATATGTTAATGTCACAACTAAGACAAGTAACGTAACAAGTAATGTAAAATATTGTAAATTTTAAAATGAGTTGAACACGTTTCATGTTTTTTGTCGGTCTATATTTGTTTGGAGATTTACTGTAAGAAAGAACCTCAAGGTGATGATTCTCAGTTCGTCTCAATAAAGAAGAGCTTAAATGTTTAAATAGTATAAACTGATACATTAATGCCTTGCACAATGGCGTAGCTATTAAGGGATACAGGATAGCAGCATTTATTCAATTAGAAAGGCAGTACTTGTGAGTGTTGTGATTAAAATATGTGTCTAAAAATAATGTTTTTAGTAGTTTACTGATTAATACAAAAAACGACTACTACTCAACATAGGTTTAATAACTTATATTAAATCTTAAACAATGCCATTTAATGAATCATGTTTTAAAATAATTGCACATAAGTATAGATTTAAAAACATGAAACAACGTGAAGTCAGTCTGTGTACAAACCAAGTCAATTCCTTCTCTGGAGCCAGAGTTATTTATCATTCCAACTCAAACTTTCACCCCAATCTAAAGAATGGAAGATACAAGGGGTTAAAGCGATGATTTTCCCTCCAATCGAAAGGATCGTCTTCCCGGCATGCCTTGCGTCAAATTGCTTTCCTGTTGCCGACTCGGTCTTTTGTGGTGGTTCAATACAGCCTAATCGCGACCTCTTTGTACCTCGTCTTCAATAGTTCAAGAATCTGTGATCATCTAATAAAACATAAACCAATACTATTGAAAATATTAGCACAGACAAGCATAGAAATAGGCACAGGCTGTTTAAGGCTGTGTTAAAAATAAGGCTATTTAATTTTTTGTCTATCAATGACATTAGTTTCTCATCAAATAATAAAATAACCAAACAATCTTCACGTCATTAAATGTTTGGATTAAATTTAATGATTGGAGTGTAATGCTTTATGTAGTCTCTCCGATATTAAAATATCGTACATTAGATGTAAATTTACTCCATAAAAATATTCCGCTACAGAAATTCCATATAAGTTTGTTTTGTGTGTTATATTTTCCCTCTACAATTAATTCAAAAATTTACAATTTACAATTGGATGGATTGGTATTCGTACTGTTAACTCACATTTACAATTTTGCTAAATTTGAGTCCTTAACGTACCAAACCATATATTCAATTTTTTGAGGTAATTCTTAATTTCACTCCACCTTGCTAAATTGTCTGCTATAACATGTTTCCAGGTGGGTTCCTCAAACCAAACTACACATACACTTCCAGGAACACTCCGTCCGCGACACACTAATAAATCAAATCTTCCGCAACCACCACACGCAATCCAATCCTCATCCGATTGCTGTTCAATTGTTCGTCAACCCCAACACAAATACTCGCCAACTGTCGACTGTTGCGGCAAGTGCACAAGAGAGGGTTGATTGTTAAAAACCGCACTTGCCCTAAAACACAAGGAGAGGGGGGGGGCGCACCCCTGTCGCTAGGTCGCAACAAGGGCGCAACCTATTATCACCCCCCCACGGATCACTGGCTTTAGATAATCTTTTTTAATAATCACGCAACACTTGTGAGCATCGCATCTGTTTATTAGTGGTGTTGTCTGTGAGAACCGACGCGGGCCTACGTCATCTGTTACTAGACTAGGTCCCCGGGGATCTTGGGACGCACCTAGGATGAACTAGGAGGGATGATCCACCGTGGGATAGGACCAGGGGATGACGTGTACGTTAAGTGAGGGAGTTGTATCGATACACTCTTGTGAGAATTGTGATTTCCTTTGGCTCTAAGTTTTCCTAACCCATTGGACTAACCATAACTAGACATACTGCAGTATCCCCATAAAATTGTCGCCAGTTTTTCTTTTAAATCAAAATGGAAGTAGTTAAATCGAACCACCGTCAGCTTGTGCTGATGTAAATTAATGGTTCCTGTCAAAAGTGCGAGCTTTTTAACCGAGTCAAACTGGTAAGATGACTTATTTAAGACATATTTTGTGTCACGTCTACAAAAGATCAACTCAGTGACGATAAATAAATTAAAATATAGAATTTTAGACACTAAATAAATAAATAAAAATGCCTTTATTGATCAAGGGTTTCTAAGTGCAACTGCTTTTCAGAACAACTCTCGTTATATAATAATTAACAATAACTTAACTAAGAAACAAATAAATAGAAACAATAACTTAACTAAGAAACAAATAAATAGAAACAATAAAAAAAAACAGAAACAAAACAATCTAACTACAACAACTAATCATCAGTGTACAATTCCTTTTTTCTTACTCTTAAAGATTGATGGCAAAGCATATTTTTTTAGGATCGAGGGAAGGTCGTTATACAGCTTTGGACCAAAGTACGAGAAGCTTCTCCTTCCAAACCCCAGCCTC